AGCTAGCGCACAGTTTTTTAGCCTCCAGCTCACACGTTTTTGTCTTAGCTCAGGAGCAAACTAATTTACGCAACAGCCAAATCACTCGCTCACAACTTTAATGCCTTATGCCAGTAGCTCACAAAGTAGAATTTTTGCTCACAGGACTCCACAGCTTAGAGGGAACATTGCACAGTGATCCCTCTAAGCTGAGTTAGTGTGAGCTAGCGCACAGTTTTTTAGCCTCCAGCACACACGTTTTTGTCTTAGCTCAGGAAGGATGGGGCTCCAGAGCAAACTCATTTATGCAGGAGCCAAATCACTCGCTCACAAATTTATTTCCAGTAGCTCACAAAGCAGAGTTTTTGCTCACAAGACTCCGCAGCTTAGAGGGAACATTGATTGATACCCCACCCTTCACCACCCGCTCACACATTTTTATCTTCGCTCAGGAAGGATGGCTCAAGAGCAAACTAATTTATGCAGTAGCCAAATTGCTCGCTCACCACTTTGATGCCAGCAGCTCACCGAGTAGAATTTTTGCTCACAAAACTCTGCAGCTTAGAGGGAGCATTGCTCCCCACAACAGATGCCCTGTGAGGGAGGTGGGGCTGAGAGAGCTCTTTTGAGGACTGCTCCTGAGAGAACAGCCCTGAAAGAACTTGTAACCAACCCAAGGCCACACCAGCAGCTGCAGCTCCCAGATTAGAGTCCCTGCTCCTAACCACTACACCAACTGGTCAGTACTTGGATGGGAGACCACCATGGAAGTGTCAGAAGGCATCACCCACCGCTCAGGCTCCACTGGACAATTTTGGATGGCTAGCTATTGGGGAGGGGAAGACATGCAGATCTGTCCTCACAGTGGAGGGGAGAGCTTGTAGCTGAACAAAACTTGCTCTCAAAGGTGCCACTGGACTGTTTTGGATTGCTAGCTACGGGGGGACACACACACAGATCTGCCCTCACAGAGGAAGGAGAGCTTGTACCTGAAGTCGGGATGGGGGCTCTGCAACTTACCTGGCTGCTTCTTGCTCCTCGTGGCCTGACTGAGGGCTGCTGGGAACAGGGGGCGGGGCTTGTTGCATGTGCCCGCCCTCTGGGCTCCTTACTGCCAGAGCTCCACTCTTGTAGGAAATGACCCCTGGTTGGGGCGAGGGAGAGATTGACAACTGAGGAGGGGGCCGAGGCAGGGAAATGGCCCCAAGGTCAGTGGGACCTGCAAAAGTGTACATTTTCTTGTCCACACGGTGAACAAAGGTGCTTTCGTAGAAGGTTCCAAATCAAAATTGGGACATTGTGGCCAAATTGGGGAGGGGGAGCCCAGGTGTGCGATTTGGCAATAGGGTCATGTGGATGCTACGAAAATCCATCTTTTGGGAAGCAGCCTCAGAGCAGGAAGATTCAAGTCCAGTAGTGGACTGGAGCCCAACAAGAAACCGAAGTCTTGAATCTGGCTGTTCTGCTGGAGGCAAACGGGGCGACCCTCGGAAACAGCCTAGGAAGAGTTTTCTCTTTGGAAAGTCACCATTTGTGAAATGCAATCCTGCGGTGCTCTTTACTGGCAGGCAATAGGATTCCCCAGGCAACTTTTCCTAAATTTTACATTTGTCACTCCTGAAGATGCTTTTTTTGTCCCTGAAGTAGCTTTTTTCATAAGAAGAGCCCTGCTGGATCCAACCAATGGTCCACTTAGTCCAGCATTCTGTCTAATACAGTGGCCAACCAGTTCCTCTGCAGGGCCAATAGCAGGGCATAGAGGCCAAGGCCTTCGCCTGATGCTATCCCCTGGCTTTTGGATTCAGAGGATTAGTGCTTCTGAATGTGGAGGTTTCCCTCAGTCACCATGGCTAGTAGCCATTGATAGATTTAGCCTTGATGAATCTAATCCCATAATAACCCTCTGTGTAAAGAAATATTCTTCATAGGGAAGGTGCTCCAATCAATCGTCTCGGTTGCCCTCTTCTATGCTTTCCCCCTCTCCACAATGTCCTTTTTGAGATATGGTGACCAGAACTGTACAGTATTCCAAATGAGGCCACACCATAGATTTATACAGGGGCGTTATTCCTTTCCTAACAGTCCCTAACATAGAATTTGCCTTTTTCTCCGCTGCAGCACACCGGGCTGACACTTTCATTGAGCTATCCACTGTGGCCCCAAGATTTTTTCCCCTCTCGATACCAGCAAGTTCAGAGACCCCATTAGGCTATACATGAGGTTGGGATTTTTTTTTTTGTCCCAGTTTGCATCACCTTACACATACCAACACTGAACTTCATTTGCCACATTGTCACCCTATTAATTACCCAGTTTGTGGAGGTCCTTTTGGAGCTCTTCATTGTCAACCATTGTTTTTACCAACCTGGACAACTTGGGTGTCATTTGCAAACGTCTTCAGTCCCCTTTTTCAATTGGACTCACAACCTTCCCCTGCACATCTGGGGCTGGCAGAGATCAACAGCTGATGGTGCGTCGTTTTTTTCCTCACTGTAAAATTTATTTTCAACAGTTCTGCATTTGCCCTCGCTCTTTGGCTTAACGTTATGAAGGCTTTTCATAGCACCTTATTAAAATAAAGGGTTTTGTTCTTCAATGAAACTGAAGCTGAAAGGAAACGCCAAATCTGATGTTCCCTCCAATGGAAAAGCAGGGAATTACATAGCCTACGGTCCATGGGGTTTTCTTGGCAAAAATACTGGAGTGGGTTGCCATTTCCTTCTCCAGGGAATCACGCTTGGTCTTTGGCCACCAAATGAGACTGGAGCCCTCACTGGAGAAGACCCTGATGCTGGGAAAGATTGAAGGTCAAAGAAGATGGGGACGGCAAAGGATGAGATGGTTGGACAGTGTCATCGATGCAACGAACATGAAATTGAGCGGGCTTCGGAGGACGGCGGAAGACAGGAGGGCCTGGCGTGATCTTGTCCATGGGGTCGCGAAGAGTTGGACTCGACTGTGCGACTGAACAACAACAACATAGCCTACATATCACATGCCGTCACGTTGCAGAACCCACAGGGTGCAGGTGTCAAAGTCATCTGTTATGAGGGCCAGATCTGACATAAATGTCACTTTGTCAGGCTGGGCCATGCAGGTCATAAAAGGTAATGCCAAGTACTGGAGATATAAACTTTATAAGGGACACAGGCAAACCCAGTTAAGATTATTATTTTTTTACTCAAAATACAAACATGCTTAAAACATTAACACTCTTACAATATTTGCTGATTGTATCTCCCCAATGTCTGCCCTTCCACCGCCCATTACTCATCACCACTGGGACAGTACACAGGGACATAATGCACAACCTCTGTCATATGGCAATAATGGTAAGGACCAGCTGCTTGCGGGCCAGATGAGCAGGGTTCCCTCTAAGCTGAGTTAGTGTGAGCTAGCTCACAGTTTTTTAGCCTCTGGCTCACACATTTTTGTCTTTGCTCAGGAAGGATTGGCTCCAGAGCAAACTAATTTATGCAGCAGCCAAATCGCTCGCTCACAACTTTAATGCCAGTAGCTCACAAAGTAGAATTTTTGCTCACAAGACTCCTCAGCTTAGAGGGAACATTGCAGATGAGAGCCCCTGGATTGGCCGGTTCCAGCCCAAAGGCTGTATGTTTGACATCCCCGCTAGTGATTAAACAGAGTTAGTTTGGCGAGGATGTCGGTGGAACACGTCTGAAGCTTACAGCTGGATAAACTCCCCGTCGGCTGCGAAATGTGTGCGATTTAAAGATATATGTTGTCCTCCCTTACCCCTATCATTGTTAGTCCCTTGTGAATACATGAGTTACTGTAAATCGCTGAGAGCCAGCAGCTCTGCAAGGATTGAGCGATTAATATATCAAAAGATTATTATTATTATTATTGCCTTCTTCTGCAAAGCCTTCCTTGGTGGCCTTCCATCCAAGTACTGACCCTGCTTAGCTTCTGAGATCGGGTGAGATCGGGCTATACTATATCATTCTACATCCTAGCCTCCCAAGTACATCAAGTTAAAATAAATGTTTAAAAGGACTCATGAAAGGGTGATTAGCCCCTTACATGACACTTTTGATAGAAGTGACAGAGGAGGAGAAATAAAACTTTTGAACCTGAACACGTGATTGTCCTCCAAATAAAACAATTGGACCCTAAAGCAATTGTGCAAGTGAGTAACTATACTAGATGGACTAGAATACTGCCATAAAAATCTCTTTCTTTCTTTCTTTCTTTCTTTCTTTCTTTCTTTCTTTCTTTCTTTCTTTCTTTCTTTCTTTCTTTCTTTCTTTCTTTCTTTCTTTCTTTCCGGAATATGGGGTCGTGGAAGAAGATATCAAAGCTTGGAAGACTTCATCTGCGATTCACGGAGAGGCGATAACATGTGCTGCAGGTGGTCGGCCAAGTGATCAGCTGCTGCCGAGGCCTCTTGAGAATAGTAAATCTGGAGGAGATGCAGCCTCATTGGCTGATAGCCTAGGAGGCGTTTTGATGGCTTCTCAAGACTCAGAATATGAAGAGCCACAGGTTAGAGAGAATAATGCTTTTGGTTCAGAGATGCAGATGGGAATTGAGAGTCGTGTTGGCCGAGCAGTTGAGGAGGTGGCCAGAGAGAATGTTCTTGCAGACCAAGAAACCCCTTTAGAAATGCCTCTTCCAGATCTTCCAGCTGAGAGAAAACTGTACTGGATTACAGAAGAAGATTCGACCATGGTCTTAACTGTGGAAATACAGCCTGAAGCCTCCCAGGAGACGGAGGAGGTCCACAAAAGCAGTGAAACATATGGCCATAGACCATTGGAAGGGACAATAACTGCCACAAAAATCTCAAAGCAAGTTTATAAGAATCAAGACAGCAGCTGTTCATAATTCCAGAGCAAGAAATCTCCTACTGCATCAGTTATACTAATGAACTATCAAGGTTGAGAGGTGGTTCTGTACTTTTGGTACTTTTTCTGAGCAGGAATCGAACTTTAAAGAGGTTATGAAAATACATAATACATAAATATTAATACATATGATTAAAATCATGAATATGTGACATATCTCCTCTTCCCCATGTGCGTCCTTTGGTGGGAAGTAAGGTGTACACTCTGATGGAACTTTTTTCCACACTGCAGGCATTCGTATGGTTTCTCCCCTGTGTGAATTCTTTGATGGGAAGTACAACTGTCAATCCGACTGAAGCTTTTCCCACACTCCAGGCATTTATATGGTTTCTCCCCTGTGTGAGTTCTTTGATGGGAAGTAAGTCTTTGTTTGTCACAGAAGTTTCTTCCACAATCCAAGCATTTATATGATTTCTCCCCTGTGTGAATTTTCTGATGACGACAAAGGTGTGAACTCTGAATGAAGCTTTTCCCACACTCCAGGCATTTATATGGGTTCTCACCTCTGTGAATTTTTTGATGTACGGTAAGGTGTCCACTCTTCCTGAAGCTTTTTCCACATTCCAGACATTTATGTGGTTTCTCCCCTGTGTGGATTCTTCGATGGGAAGTGAGACTGGACTTGTGACTGAAGGTTTTCCCACACTCCAGGCATTTGTATGGTTTCTCCCCTGTGTGAACTCTTTGATGGGAGATGAGGTAATATTTTCTTCCAAAACTTTTTCCGCACTCCAGGCATTTATATGTTTTCTCCCCTCTGTGCATCCTTCGATGAGAAGTAAGGTCATCACTGTGACTGAAACTTTTCCCACACTCCAAGCATTTGTATTGGTTTTCCCCTGTGTGAATTCTTTGATGGGAAGTAAGACTTCCATTGTGACTGAAGCTTTTTCCACACCCCAGGCATTTGTATGGTTTCTCCCCTGTGTGAGTTCTTCGATGGGAGATGAGGTAATATTTTCTTCCAAAACTTTTTCCACACTCCAGGCATTTATATGGTTTCTCCCCTGTGTGAATTCTTCGATGGGAAGTAAGAGTGGAACTGTCAGTGAAGCTTTTCCCACACTCCAGGCATTGGTATGGTTTGTCCCCTGTGTGACTTCTTTGATGGTAAGTAAGACCAGAACTTTGACTGAAGCTTTTCCCACACTCTGGGCATTTGTATGGTTTTTCCCCTGTGTGAATTCTTTGATGGGCAATGAGGTAATATTTTCTTCCAAAACTTTTCCCACACTCCAGGCATTTATATTTTTTCTCCCCTGTGTGCATCCCTTGATGGGAAGTAAGGTCTTCACTGTGACTGAACCTTTTCCCACACTCCAAGCATTTGTATGAGTTTTCTGCTGTGTGAATTCTTTGATGGAAAGTAAGGCTTCCATTGTGACTGAAGCTTTTCCCACACTCCAGGCATTTGTACAATTTCTCCCCTGTGTGAATTCTTCGATGGGAAATGAGGTAATATTTCCTTCCAAAACTTTTTCCACACTCCAGGCATTTATATGGTTTCTCCCCTGTGAGAACTCTTCGATGGGAAGTAAGAGTGGAGCTGTCAGTGAACCTTTTCCCACACTCCAGGCATTGGTATGGTTTCTCCCCTCTGTGAGTTCTTTGATGGTAAGAAAGACCGGAACTTTGCCTGAAGCTTTTCCCACACTCCAGGCATTTGTATGGTTTCTCCCCTGTGTGGCTTCTTTGATGGGAAGTAAGGTGCACACTGTGGTGGAAGCTTTTCCCAAACTCCAGGCATTCGTATATTTTCTTTCTGTTACACATCCTTCGTTGAATATTAATAACTGATATTTCAGTGAAACTTTTCTTGCTTGCAGTGCACTCAGTCCTGTTGTCTCCTTGACATATTCTTGGTTGTAAAGAGTCACCCCCTTGTAAAAGACTGGAATTACTCCTGTTATATGAGTGTTTTCCCTCCTCCTTACTCGATGCAGCCAAATATTCAAGCTTCTCTTTCACATCTGAATACGAAGCCTCTTTATCCATCAATCGGCATTCTTCTGCTTCAGTCACTGACTGCCGCACTTCTCCAGCTGAAAGAAAAGGATACCTGGTGTCATGATACGACACTTTCCACAAATACCTAGTTTTGAGTCCAGTAGCACCTAAAGACTAAGAAGTTTTCCGGCGATAAGCTTTTGAGAGTTAAGTTTCCCTTTGTAGTATTTAATTCAGAATGGAGATCTCTCAGTCTTTATATCCCAGTCAGAGGGTGGGAGAAGGCTTACCAAGTACTTACCGAGAATCAGCGGGGGACACATACTTCTTCTCAGGACCATTCCCGCACGGAAAACAGATGCGCCGCACCATGCCATTGCCAGGAGACGCTCTGGCAATGGGGCTGGAAACTCGATGGTACCGGGAGGGGTGTTGCAGGAACGGAACTCAAGATGTAATTGTAATTAGATCAGAACAAAGGGGAAATGCCTAGGAGCAGAAAAGATCTCAGGTGAAAAGGGACTGGCAAGCTGTACAGAAAAGCCCTTTTTCCTGTTTCAGTGGCTACATGAAATCTTGGTTCGGGCTTTGAAAGAGGCCTACATAGAAACTTTTCCCTAGAGACATAGATAAGAAGAGGTGCTGTGACCTTGGTAGATTGCTTTCAGCTGGCTGGGAAGCAACCAGCCCAATTATTTTTTGAACCTAAATGTTTGACCCGGAGGGGTTGGCGTTTGTGACACAAGCACCCTGGCCTGAAACCGCCTCCCAGAGTGGACAATGATGAACTAGACTTGGCATAAGGGCTATAAGAGTAGGCAGAAGGAAACTGCCTCTTGCCCTGGACTGAAGGTGTACAAGCATCATTTCAGCATCCACAATTCATCCAAACTAGGGTTACCAAGTACCTACCGCGAATCGGCGGGGGGCACATAGTTCTTGGCGGGAACATTCCCGTGGGGAAAACACACACGCTGCACTATACTGTCGCCCAGATGTGTCGTAGGCACATAGCCGGGCGACGCTCTAGCAATGGGGCTGAAAACTCGATGGTATCAGCATAGTGCAACGCGGGTGTGTTACAGGCGGGAATGCTCCGGCAGGAAAGCATGTGTCCCCCACCGATTCGCGGTAGGTACTTGGTAACCCTAATCCAAACTCTTTATAGGGAAAATTCAAACTGTGAGTTTAAACAAGACCACAGAAATTCACCAGTCATCCCAAGGAAGCGCAGGCAACACACAGTCCCAAGACGGATATCTAAGCCGCTACCTGCCAATCCCTCCTCTTCATCATGGCCCAGGAGAAACAGCCCTTCCTCTTCTTCCAGCCAGGATATGAGGTCAGGTTTGGAAATCAGAGGTCCTGTTTATCAAGAAAATACACAATCGTACAAAATTAGACCTGTGTGCCCATATATTCAACAATTCCAAGCGAAATCGACTGTCCCTCCAGAAAAAACACAACAGGCAAATAACAGGAGTGGGTTGCAGGACAGTTTGGGGTCAAGACTCAGCCCTCTTTTGTTATCCAGAGACTCTGTAGCAGCACGGATATGTGGCCATGCACACATGTGATGCACGAGTCATGCCTGTGTAACCCCTTAGCCATATTGGAATCACACAGTCGGAGTCCCAACGAGTTAGATGAAGATCTGTTTAATGCACTGAAACAGGGAATACAGAGCAGAGTGCCTTAGCACTTAGCAATTCCAAAGCTGTATTCTGCCATAACCAGGCAGGGCAGAAGGTCTTATACCCCAAATGACATCACATATAGCTTATACATTAATGACTGTGTGACCCCTTAGCCGAACTGGAATCACACAGTCGGAGTCCAACGAATTAGATGAATATCTGTTTAATGCATTGATGTCATTAATGTATAAACTATATGTGATGTCATTTGGGGTATAACAGCTTCACATGTACACCCAATTCTGGGCCTCTTGGGACCTCAGCCTCTCTATGCTTTTAGAAGGTGCTTTCTTGCAAGGGGGTCTCCAGAAAGCTCATTTTGCATTTTAAAGGATTTGGCCCATTATTTCCTCCAAGTCTGATCAAGGTCCTTCTTCCTCTTGGGCCTTTCGGCACCTCTTCTCTGGGAATGAAAACAAGGTGAGGCGGGGGACCTTAAACTAAACCTCTTTCTTTCTTGTGGGGCAGACTGAGTCTCTAAACTAGAGGGGTGCTGGCATAAAACTGGCACTGGCAGTTCTGTCCCTCTTCTCTGCCAAGCTGAGACAGAAAGGCCAGGTGAGAACTAAAAGGACAGAAAAGACAGCAGAGTTCCTTCCGCAGTCACATCTCAGGCCAACTCGGGCCAGGCCCAGGCTGGAGGGAAGCCCCCTGCTTAGACCGCCCCACCATCTCCAGACCAGGCCTCCCCCGGCACCTCTTCTGATGCTGTGACAGACTATAAGGCTTGTCGGTAAGCAGCAGGGAAGCAAGAGATCTGCTAGGTCACATGACTAAGAGTGGTGGAGGCAGGTTGTTCGGAATTCTCAGGGAGACTGAAGGGAAAAAAAGAGAAAGTTGAGAGTTGGTGAGTGAGCCCGAGAGCTCAGGAGGGAGAAGGAACCTAGGAAGCTGAGTGAAAAAAGCAAGTGACCAGTTTGAGGAAAATTGGGGCTAGAAGAGGACGCTCACTACTAGTCCCCTCTGGAGAGAGTGGGTAGTGATATGAAAGGAGAAATGGAAGAACTCCTTAGTATTAACAAAGCTCCACACACAAGTGACCAGTTTGAGGAAAATTGGGGCTAGAGGACGCTCCCTACTGGTCCCCTCTGGAGAGAGTGGGTAGTGATATGAAAGGAGAAATGGAAGAACTCCTTAGTATTAACAAAGCTCCACACACACTTCTCCGAGGGAACTTGTGAAGTGGTTAAGGGAAAGGCCGAGAATAGCTAGAATGGCCTCACCGGTCAGTTGAGCGAGCCAGGTGGAGAGTCTTCTGTGTAATCACAGTTAGTAACAGGAGAAGTGGGATACCAATTGGTCTTGTAGGACAAGGGATCAGAGAATGTGATTTATGAATGTGATTTTTGACATTTCCCTTGACAGGTAGAATGCTAGCTGTCACTGTGCCTTAATAAGCATTTAGTCTAGACAGAAGAGATTCAGAATAGAATTACTTAAGAGTATTATTTTAATTATTAAAGGCCCTTTTTAGATAGATTCAGAAAGTACTGGAATGGAATGTACATTTTGAAATTATGAGTTCCCCAGCTGAAGGACGTCTGAAAGCAAAGTTATGAGATGGAAAGATTCTGAATGTTCCCAAAACAATATCTTTCTTTACAGAGCAGAGCATCTGGCCCCAGGAAGTCTGCCAAGAGCTACGTTTCATGCATTTTATCAGGAAAGTCCCAATTTTTAGGTTGAAACAAATAAATCAGGAATGATGCCAAAAGAAGGCCTCTTTGTTCACTGATGTTCTCCGCTGTTCTGGGGCTAGATAAGCAGACGTAATTACTGACACTTATGATCAATGTGGAGCTGCGGTGGCTCAAGTGGTTAAGACGCTGAACTGCAGGCTGCGGAAGGACGGTAGTTCCGCAGTTCGAGACTCGAGTGTGCCGCATGACGGAGTGAGCTCCCGTCCTCTAGTCCCAGCTCCTGCCAACCTAGCAGTTCGAAAGCAAGAAATTGCAAGTAGATAAATAGGGACCACTTCGGTGGGAAGGTAACAGCGTTCCGTGCGCCTTGGTGTTTAGTCATGCCAGCCATATGACCACGGAAACGTCTTCGGACAGCGCTGGCTCTTTGGCTTTGAAACGGAGATGAGCACCGCAACCCTAGAGTCGGATTCGACTGGCTTTCGAGCAAGGGAACCTTTACCTTTTTATGATCAATGTAGAGGTATGCCAATAGAGAAGTGCCAGCTCAAATGGTGCTCTGATGATGATACCTGCTAGATACCAATTAGGGATTTCTTCCTGTGTAAATGTCATGATGTCATTTGGGGTATAAGATCTATTGCCTTTCCTGGTTGGGGCAGAATGCAGCTTGGTGTTACTGGGTGCCAAGGTATCCAGTCCTGTATTTCCTGATTATTGCAATAAACAGATATTTGTCCAACTCCCTAGACTCTAACTGTATGTTCCTCATTCAACTCCAGGAGCACACAGGGTACAGATTTGTGCATCAGTCTCAATGTACCAGAGACAGTATGTGTCCAAGTCAGAGTTGGATAACTCCTGCATATGTTACACAGTCTATCCTGTGTAAAATATCCCGCTATGCTTATGTGAATAAAGAGTTGTGCAGTTCGCCATTAAAAAGCACTGGTACCTGACTTCTTGAGAAGAGTTCATATCTGGCCGATTATATACCCCCACCCACAGGAGGTATAAAACTGAAGGGACTTGTTAGCCTAAACAGGTTATCCCGAGAAAGAACTGGTTATCAGTCATAACCTAGTCAGAGCACGAGACCAGATTCAACCAGCCGATCGGTCACGTTACAGGCAATGTTCCCTCTAAGCTACGGAGTCCTGTGAGCAAAAAGTTCTACTTTGTGAGCTACCGGCATTAAAGTTGTGAGCGAACGATCTGGCTACTGCATAAATTAGTCTGCTCCAGCAGCCCTCCTTCCTGAGCTAAGACAAAAATGTGTGAGCCAGAGGCTAAAAAAACTGTGAGCTGGCTCACGCTAACTCAGCTTAGAGGGAACACTGGTTACAGGTGCCCTCTCACTTGGCTTCGGCACAGAAGTGTCAGGCAGGGGCTCCCCCTCTGTGCAAGGAGAGCACAGGAGGACCCTCCCCACCTCAGAGGGA